CTGTTCCTCTTCCTTCTAAGGAGGGGGGCAAGGCGGGGGAGGAGGGGGGATGGCTTAGGCAATACCGGGAGGAGGAGGAGGAGGAGGGCTGGGAATGAGGCGAGAGCCCGTGTGTGCGCGGGAACGTGAAGTCGACGTCGGCGACGTCGGCAGACGCGAACGCGGGCAGCGTCGGAACTTCTGGCCATCCCAGGGCCTGGGACATGGCCGCAAACAGCGCGCTCCCCCCCAAGACGCCGACCCACAGCACACCGAAGATGATGCCGCTCGGCTCAAGTCCAGGGCGGCGCCCAGGCACAGAAGGCAGCGGTGCACCACCACAACCACCAAATGTCGAGCCAGGGCACTCCCGGGCCCAGGCCAGGAGGGTGCCGTACTCCACCGCGGGGCCCAGCATTGCCCAGTGGCGCGAGGCACGGCGGTGGCGTGCGGGGTGCCGGCTGCGAGATCCACGAATCCCCCCCGCGCCTGGCTCCGTCGGCCTCCCGCTGCCACTGGGCTTAATGAGGAGGAGGAGGAGGAGGAGGAGGAGGAGGAGGAGGAGGGGAGGGGGGAGGGGGAGGGGGAGGGGAGGAGGGGAGGGGGCAGGGGGAGATGAGGAAGGGGAGGGGGAGGAGGGGGGGAGGGGGAGGAGGAGGAGGAGGAGGAGGAGGAGGAGGAGGAGGAGGAGGGGAGGAGGAGGAGGATGAGGAGGAGGAGGAGGAGGAGGAGGAGGAGGAGGAGGAGGAGGAGCGGTCCTTGACCTGCAGGTCGGACCTCGCCTGCTCGATGAACTTCTCGTCCGCCTCCATCTGCTTGGCGAGGTCTGCGATCTCAGCCTCGGCCTCGGACTTCGTCTGCCCTCGGGCGGCCCCCTCCAGCTCCATCTTGCTCAGGGCCTCCTCGGCGCTCTCCTTCTGGCTCTGCTTGGACGCCATGAGCGTGTTGTAGGTTTCCACCGAGGCGCCCTCTTTCTCCTTCATCTCGTCGAGGTTCGTCTCGAACGTGACCTTGAGCTTCTTGAGGGTCTCCAGTATCTGCCCCGAGCGCTGCTTGTAGGACATCTTGAAGGTGGCCTTCCTGTTCAGCTTCTTCCAGTCCCAGTCGGGGACGTCCCCGCTGACGACGCGGTCGAGGAAGAGGGCGTCCCCCTTCGACAGGAAGCGCCTGCCGATCGCGACCGCGTGGGCCAGGGCCACGTAGCTCGAGGGGCTCCCGGTGCGGCCTCGCCCACCAAGGGTGAGGAACGAGCCCTCCTGTGGAGGCCAAACAGTCCCGATACCGCTACTCCTCGGACCTCTTCCAGCGTGCGTTTTGACAAAAATTATCCCAGTGCGACCCTACCTAGGAGTTGGAGGATCTAGGAAAGCAACATCTATATGAAGCTCAGCTAAACTAAGATGAAGCTAGTCTGAGATGAAATAAGCTAAGATGAGAGAAGCAACGCGAAACTAAGGGAACGTCACTGGGGGAACCGCGGGGCGGATGCCGGGGGAACCGCCCGGAGCGTGCCCCACTGCCCGGCCCTTTAAGCACACAGAGTAAGAACCCGTCTAGGCAGAGCCTAGGTAGGGAATGACAACTCGAATCCCGCCGTGTCGACGAGGGCCTCCTAGGAGGCTCCGAAAGGGGAAAACGGAGAGAAGGTGCGGTATGTTCGTGTCATCAGCGCTGGCTTCTCACCCCAGGTGGATCGTTCAAGCGTGAGCGATCGGCAATTCTTCGATCGCCAGATCGTTCCACGTTGGCCGACCCTAGGCCACTGGCTGCGTTCAACCTGGAACGCCCGCGGCGGGGTCGTCGCCGAGTCGATACGGCACGAACCTACCGTTGAGGTATCAGTACCTGTTCCTCCTCTGTTCCTCGGAGGCGCTCTCCAAGACGGCCACGGCGTCCCCCAGGGCCGTGATCGCCTGCTCCGTCTCCGCCTTCGCGGCGAGGTAGTCCTCGCTTTCCTGCTCGCGCATGGCCTCGGCCCTCTCGAGGTCGGCGGCGAAAGACGCGATCTCCTTCTCGAGGTCTACGCGCTCTGTAGTGAACTCGATCTTCCCGGCCGCGATGTCGGCCACGTACTGCTCCAGGGAGTCCTTCCTCGACTGTGCCTTCTCGTTCGACGCGGTCTTGGTGCTGATGATCGTCTCGGCCCAGCACTTGAACTTCTGAAACGCGGACTTCTCCGCCTCCAGCTCCTCCTCGCACTTCTGCTGAAGCGACTGCAGAATCGCAGTCACCCTGGCCACGGGGCTTGTGGCAGCGCTGACTCGCTCTGCGAAGCTGGAGGTGGACCCAGCGAGCAGCGTCACAAGGCAGAGCTTCATTCGAACGCCAGATCGACTGAGCACCATCGAGTCCTTTACGGTACCGTGCGGACGGTCGGGCCCGAGAGCCACCTCGGCTACGGAGCTGGGAGCGGACCAAGACTAGCTCGCTCAAGCGCTGGGACTAAGAGCAAATGGCAAATGGCGCAGGTGCGGCAGCGTGACGAGCGGCAAGAAAGCAAGAAAGTTGCAACAAAGCAAGT